GGAAATAAGAATTTAAAACTCGGTGCTGTTATCAACAACAGCAGGAAAACATCCTTCCAGAGACTGTGTGAGCCCAAGCTCACATGCTGCACCCACATCCCCTGCATGCAGTGACGTTCATTCCTTCTCCTGAGGAAACTGAGGCACGTGCCTTGAGCTCATTATCAGGTGGATTTGAAAGCAGGCCCATCAGTGTCATGGCCAAACCTCCCTCGAGGCCAAAACGATAGGAGCCGTGGCTTTCCTTGTGGGGTTCTCCGGGTTCCACAGCCAGCTGTGCTATAAGATCAAAACCCGTGTGTCTCCCCACAGAGAGACTGTGGTTGGTCCTCTAGAGGCAGAAACCACTCTCAGAAGCCTCTGGAAGTATCCGAGATGGACTTGAAACAGCAAGTGACTCACAGAAGCCGCAGGTTTAACTGACAGTAAGTGGGCTTTCCACCCAGCTCTGTGTCATGGTGGCCTCAGGAGATTTGCTGGGCTTCTCTGGGCCTGGACAAAGCACAGATGAGAACGACCATCTCAGAAATAGTGTCTGCAAGCTGGCCTGCACAATCCCTGAGTTAGATACTGTCCCTCAGAACTTTTCTATTGAAAGGCAATTGTCCACACCACCTTCTAAACAGTAAATACAACTAAGCAGTAAACAAATAAACCAATAGGTCTGACCACCTCTTCAGTGAGCATCCGCAGTCTGGGAAGGAACAGTCTGGTGCCTGCAGGAGGCGTCTCTCTGAGAACAGTCGCCTGTACATCTCCTTCCCCTCCCCCCTCTGGCGCAGGCAGGACTCCAACCCCAGGCCATGTGTTCTCTCCTCCTCCTGAAGTGTGTGCAGGACCGTTCAGACCACAGATTACCACCTTGCAGCCAGGTAATGCAAACAATGGAAGCCAGGAGGATTTCTTGCAGGTAAAAAGGTTGAGATGCTGGCTGCCGCTTCTCAGCAGAGGAAACTCGTAGTGAAGGAAAGGAGAAAGCAGTCCGGAGCTCTGTGTTCACAGTTTTACTGGCTCTGAGAAGCAGGAGCCCTGCTTCCTGTAACACCAGTGTCCCATAGTTTTTCACCAGCAGAGAGTTCACTGCTATGTTACACCTCTGGATTCCAAACATGAAATTTTAGCTTCAGAATAATACATTTCACTGAACAAAATATATGCCAGACTGAGTTCTGACTTCTGGTTTCCTCAGTCTCCAGTCCTGGGCAAACTCACTGGCTCTGCTGTTTCCTCCTGAGCCACAGCAAGTGGAAAGGGGCCAAGGAGCCCAGGGCCTTCCGTGCACACGGGCTGGGTGTGGACGTCTGGGATCCAGATTCACACTTCAGACTCATTCACCCGGGACTGGCTGGTCCTGTCAGCTGGACTCCAGGGCAGGCAATGATGTGCTCTCCTGGGTGTTATCCAAAAAAACAATTCTAACAAGAAGGGAAACGATCCAACAGAGCAGTAACAGGTCTGGGGCTCCCTCCTCAGTTCCAGAAGTGATCACTCTTTAAGGTGGGAAAGGCAGTGCTTTGCTGTCCCACTAGACAACAAAGCAAGCACATCCTTACCCTGACTGCCAACCGACGCCTAACTCTGAGAACCTCGGCCACCACCCTAGGCAGATGGACCCAGACTTCAAGGCCCACCCACCTGAAAGCAGTCACCATGCCAGCTGACAACCAGCTTATTCTTTGTGTTTTTTTTTTACAACCGGCTTATTCTTGGACCACAACTGGGGTGTGGTACAATGTTCAGTCTATGCAGATGATGATAGATGCGAATAAAAGTCTTCAGTTCTGTTTCCTGTGGCCACCATACACTGTCATCCCCATGAACTCCACCAAAATGAGCCCAGTCCACTTTCAAAATATTTAGGAGCTTGAAAGTTTAAATCAGGCCATGCTGATTTTGTGGGCTTTTTCAAGCTTTGACACTGTAATTATACGCAGGACTCTGCCACTAAATTTCCCCAACTGAAACATTTCACATCTTTTTAAAGCATACATTGAGGTTAGGTTTTGGGGTTTTTTTTTTAGTACATGTTATGAAATAAGATATGAACTTATACCCAGCCTTACGTATATTTCTGCCAAAAGACTGGACCAAAAAAAAGTTAAGAATGACTATTTCTTTGTCCAGAGCTCTGTTACCACTATTACATACCCTTTAATAAACATGCATAAACCTAGCTCAATATCAGGTCAGCCGAAATCACAGAATATGATCGACAAATGGTAAAAGGCTCAAAGGAAGAAAACGAAATATTCAAAGGAACAATGAAAGGTAAAATTATTTTGATGGTCTTTCTGTTTCCCCTGCTTTCTTACATGTTTAGTAAATAGCCTTTTTCTCCTGGTTATAGATGGTCACATGATCTGTTAAAGACAGACAATTTGAGACGAGGTCTGCTATGTTAGTGAATATGATCCAGATATTTTGCCTACAAGTAAAGAAGTTCACTAAAGTATGACCTTCTCAAGCCATTTAACCTCATACTCTCAGTTTCCTCACTTTTAAAGCAGACCCAAAGGATTTTTCACTAGGGTGAAATGAAGGAATGCAGGCGTCGGTGAGAGCCTGGCGAATAAAAAATGCTCCATAAATGTTTGCTTGCTAATGTGGTCAGATGGCTAAATACGCCTGGCTCCCACCTAAATGCGGAAGGTGCCAAGCAGCCTCCCAGCCAGCGGGTGGGAGCTGAAATCCACAGACCCTAGTGAGGCCCATAGAAACACACAAGGAAGAAAGGAACGGCCAGACATCGACTCTCACTACTCTCTACCGACTCGCTGAAGGAGCCTGGGGATGCATGGGGACAGTGCAGAGCAGGCCATGGGCAGCTGTCTTCTTAAATCCACCAAGGTCACAGTAACCGATCACTGAGCTGAGGAAGGTGCTGTCTGGGCCTCCTGAGTAACAGCTGAGTCCTACTGCCAGGGTCCCAAGAAAGGACTTCTGGCAGTGAGTGATTTCCCAAGACAGAAGCCTCCAAATGTTACTTTAATGCCAAAGACATAGAGCTAGGTGTGGTCATAAGCTTGTGATTGCAGCACTCTGGAAGGCTGAAGCAGGAGAATCAAAGTCAAGCCCAACTGGGGGAACTTAGTAACTTATCAAAACTGTTTAAAAATGTAAAACAAGAGAGGTGGCTCAGTGGAAAGGATCTGGATGCAATCCCCAATACCAGAAAAAAAAATGTTAAAGAAATAGATGGCTTACTACTCTGGTGAATGTAATCAATATTTTTCTCAAATAAATAGTACTTGAACTCCAAAAGATGCATCTTTTCACTCACTTTTCACACTCACCTTCTAGATTACAGGATTCTAACATCTATTTTCTTATTACTAAGTCTCCACTTTTGAAGCAAGGCACTACTTTTCATCTGGCTAGAAGTACCAAAAAGGGACAGTGCTGCGTAGAGAGTTTTCATAATGTTACTTGGGAACACAATGCAAAATGCACATTTAAACTTTATAAATGGAGGAAAATAATACCTTCCCATATGACACTCTCAGCACATTTAAATGCTACTTGATCAGATTAATTTCCATTGAAATCTTAAGAGAATAAGATGAAACAATTTGCTCACATTACACAGACAAGAGAAAAGACAAAGGGAGATTATACACATAGACACACACTCAGAGACACACTGAATCTGCAAACCTA